TCATGCATTTCAAATTCTTCATATCATATATCAAATGCGTGTATGAATTACAAGATATAGGGGGAGATCTCCATGATATTACTCTACAATGTGCATTTGCTATCCAAAGCAAATTCCTCGAATATGCACATCTTCAGGGGGAGTTCTTATATATCTTGCAATCAAATTCCTCAATATTAGCATTTACACTTCATATGTTTATCCCCGTTGAAAACTTAACCTATTTGTCATCAATCACCAAAAAGGGGAAGATTGTAAGTGCATCTAGTGCCCCTTAGTGATTTTGGTGTATTGAAGACTTATAGGTTAAGGGACTAATGTGTTTGTGACTGTACACAGGCTCTATAAGTCGATGAGGAGTTTGATATTTATGATGAAAGTCGACCCCTAAAAATGTATGTCTTCAGCTGAAGACTTTGGTTTTCTTGAAGACTTTGAAAGTGAAGAAATTGGTGTGACCTTAAAGACTTGGATGTTCATGCGCGGACTATGAAGCGTGAAGACTTTTGTTTTCATAGTTTTATTTTCTCTTTCTTGAGTCATAGGAAACACCGTACTGTTAAAGAGGGTCGAGGTAATACTAAGGAAACACTTTCCAAGTGATGCTCATCTCAAAGCCTACACCTACCCAATCCTTTTGAGTGAAGCCATTGGAAGTCTCATACAGTTCAGTCAATTTCTTCTGTGACAGAGATGAAGATCTTCTGTTCTTTGATGAATTTGTTCTGACTGAGGAGTTAGGAATTCGCTAGTGCAGATTGCCTACATAGTGAGGAACATGATAGCCCTGAGGAATTTGAGAGCTCAAATTTCTGACCGTTGCTGTGCTACGCGCCAGCTGTCCAAAATATCCTACCCACCTAACGGTCATATCATTGAAGGGCATTTATGTCTTATCATGTCGGGTTGCTCCCTCGGCTATAAATAGCCACCCCCTACAACCACTAGTTGGTTGGCTGCTCCGAGAAAAACTGACACTTGTCATTGAGAGCATCCCATCCTTAGAGGACTTTGAGCGAAAATCATCAAGTGAGGAAAACCCAAAACCCAAACACCTAAAACCCAAAGTGATTGGGCATCACTAAATAGATTGTTCCTATGTTGAACCGACGCTTGTTACCTTTGAGGACTGTGCATCCTCTAGACGGTTAGGCATCATGGTCTAGAGCGTCCAAGAGGAATTGTGGATTGCCAGGTGACCAAGTCTGTGAAGGTTTGGAAGTCACCTGAAGACTTACCACGAGTGATTGGGCGAGGTCTGTGTGACTTTAGCTCAAGGAGAATACGGTGAGGACTGTGTGTTCGGGACTGTGTGTCCTTAGGTTTAAATACCCAGCCGCTCCAACCAGACATACAACTGTCACAACAGTTGGAACTGGTCTACCAAATCATCATCTTCACCAAGCTACTGGTTCTATTTCCTCAACTTTTTCATTTCCTCGTTCATGTGTTGATGAACCTAATCATTACTGTTTGAAGGCTTTGACTGGAGACTTTCTCTATTTCCTCAACTCTATTCTTCAGTCACTTTGTCTTCAGCCTGCTTATTCTATTTTCACGCTACTTCTACTCTGAGCTTGTTTTCATTTCATCATGATGACTATGCTACTGCTCTGTTATGCTTGTACCTAAGTACTTATTCCACTGCTAGTGTGTCGTTGCTTAGGAAATTCTTCACCTAGAATTTCCTCAGTGACGAATTTGTAAAAATCACCCATTCACCCCCCTCTAGTCGATATAACGCACTTTCAACTATGGCAATGGGGGATATGATAACTATGGCGAGGGTGATTTGTATGGTGATGAGCACTATGATCACTATGGCTATGGGGAATATGAGGACCATGGAGATGAGGATGACTATGGCGATGGCGATGATGATGACGATGATTGGCTATAAAAGTCTAATGATCGCCAGTGGGGTACTTCAGACCGTTGGTGAATTTATAAGTCGACGGTGTTTGCTCACCCTCAACTAACAGGTTTCCTGGCAGTGTTCGCTCACCCTCGACTAACAGGTTTCCTGAAAGGCGGTATACACTGTCGACCATCTAATAAGCTGACGGTTTGGTTCTCCTCATGGGCATAACTAAGTCCAGTGGGACAAATGTACCGTTGACTATTTTGAAAACCGACGGGAAGCAATAACCGTAGGAGAGTAAATGTCCGACGAGGAACCATCGGGTATAAATGTCGTCAGGCTAAGATGAGCGAGCAAGTCACAGTAACATGCCCGATGGCTCACGTCGGCTTACTACCGTAGGTGACAAGATTGCCCGACTGTACCATCGGCCATTACTGTAATGGCCAACGAAGCAAGGCCAATGGGAGATGGCCGACGATGTACTGTCGGTTTTAGTAATAGTTGACGGTGATAAAAAAATATCCGCCGTGATTTGACCATCGGTTATAATGCAATATCTAGTACTGCCGGCTTGGATGGTCGTGGAGGAGGCCGTCGGCCATCATTGGCCTCGAGCGCATGATGTCTCGGGGAAGAATGGTGGTGATGGGGGACTTCATGGTGGAGATGTGAGGGTACATGAGTGGCTAGGGGAGAGAGAGAGAGCTATGGATAGCTCCAATTTGAGCACGGGCCGAGGCGACAATGGCTGTAGTATGAGGTGGGAGAAGGCACGGGAGGGGGAGTGGTCTGCTCCAAGAGGTGTATGGGAGAGAGAGAGAGCAGAGCACGTCCGAAGGGGCACTAGGGGAGGCTTTAAATAGCCATGCCGAGGCGCACCATGGACGGAGCTCACGGGCAGCGCTCGGGTGAGCTCTGCAGGGGGAGTAGGAGGGCAAGGGAGGAGGGGCCCTACATTGTGGCGTGTAGGGGACATCGCGGCGGTCTTGGGGGACATGATCCTGGTGCCCAAGGTCGACGGGGAGCCTCGAAATGGGTGTGCTACAGTGCGGGAGAGCACTGTAGTGTGCTCCAGAGCATGAGCTTGGCATGCCATGTCATTACTT